AAATTAACCGCTATCTACTGATTGACTTATGGATAAAACAATTTATCAAACGTCTGAATAAATAACTACTACGACAACAAAATGAATTCGCACATGTGTTACCTGAAACCGTTTTTAGCGTACTGGACAAAACTAAATTGAGTCGTGTTGGTACTCGTTGGAAAGCTCAGGAAATGGGCTTTCCGATGGTGTGCAGAATTTTAAACAGGTACAACGTATACAGTGTGTCCCAAATCGCGTGGGATTGCATGGGTAACTTAGTTATTATTAAAGATAGAGAATTGGTTAAATGGGCAATGTTTTGCAGTTTTGGATGCTTATTTAAAATTTCCTTACGGAAATTCAAAATGTCGCATAGGTTCGACGTAAATTCAAAAAAATTAAAAATGGCCATTCCCTTGAATGTCTTATATCATCGAAAGTATAAGAGCTATAAAAAAAAGTTTTATATAAAAGTGACTGTTTTTGATACGCTTAATTTAGAATTGATATAAAAAAAAATTTAAGATGGCCACTTTTGAGGAACATTTACCAACTTCCTAAAGTTAAATGGGCGCCATATTGGATTTTTAGATTACTTGATAGATTTTTAAATTCTCTTTTCAACGAGCTATTATAACATAAGATTGAAAATAAGATACCAGTTATATTAACGGTTTTTGTATTTTAATCAAGTAGTCTGTGACGAATAAAAAAAAACAAAACAAAATCTATTCGAGGCAACAAAACAATGAAAACAATTACACCAGATGTTTAAAATACTGGCCATTATTAGTGAAACACACTTCAAGACAGTTTAGTTTAGGCAACGTGTTGCCATTGATGATTATTATTATTATTGTAGTGGTAGCTACTTCCACTTTACTTTTATTTTTTAATTAAGTACTTACTTTTATAATTTAATGTACTGTACATAATTCGTGAATTGTGACCTGAGCAGCCAGCTTGTTGGTAGGTAGCATAAACCAACCCTTTCTTCGAAACATACGTTGTCGAGAAAAATCCTTTAAGGAAGTTTATTGGAGAATTAATAAATCATGGTGAGCAGTTAAAGATCCAACGAAGATTACCGGTCCAATTACATGACTTCCCATTATGCCATAAAATACATTACATAATTTAAAAAAAATATTAATTGATTTCGGCGTGAAACTACAACATGTAGGTTTTCCTGTGACGAGTATAGTGTTCATTATGTCGATTTGAACACTCCGCAGTTAGAAAAATAAGACTCATCTGTCCATTACTCGGACTGGTAAAACTGTTAGTTTCGATATTCTTGCGGATAAACCACCCACTGACCTACAAAATGTGACCTGGGACAATGCATCAATGGTAATACATTGTGTAAAATAAAGCAAAGTGTCTTGAAATGTGTTTAACTGGATAATGGCATGACATTTTTTCGAGGGGATAGTTTGTAGTTATACCACCATTTGTAGGTATGTAAGTATGGATAATAAGATAGTCAATAAGTGATGTTATAAAAATCAAAATTTTTCTAGGCCTACTTATATAAAATTTTGGAGGGAGTTGTAATGCCCAAACCCCCCTCTCATGAGTGCGCCCCTGATTTTTTAAACATCTGATGTAATTATTTTCATTGTTTTGCTGGCTCGAGTAGATTTTGTTTTGTTTTTTTTAATTCATCACAGCCTACTTGATTAAAATATAAAAACCGTTGATATAACTGGTATCTTATTTTCAATCTTATGTTATGATAGCTCGTTGAAAAGAGAATTAAAAAATCTATCAAGTAATCTAAAAATCCCATATAGCGCCTATTTAACTTTAGGAAGTTGGTAAATGTTCCTCAAAAGTAGCAATCTTGAATTTTTTTGACATCAATTCTAAATTAAGCGTATCAAAGACAGTCACTTTTATATAAAACTTTTTTTTATATCTCTTATACTTTCGATGATATAAGACATTCAAGGAAATGACCAATTTTAGTTTTTTTGAATTTACGTGGAACCTATGCGACATTTTGAATTTCCATAAGGAAATTTTAAATAAGCATCCAAAACTGCAAAACATTGCCCATTTAACCAATTCTCTATCTTTAATAATAACAAAGTTACCCATGCAATCCCACGCGATTTGGGACACACTGTATATACGTACGTCGCACACAGATTCCGCATTTTCAGAACGTATATATACGTGCGCAACAGTGAAAAGGTTAAAGGTGATAGCATACAACCCGGAAGGGGCAAAAATAGTTATTAATTAATACGCAAAAAGTTATGGAAGTTGTTTGGTTGTTGGTGTCTTGTTATCAAATCTGTTGTATGATCCAGTGACCCAACTACAGAAAATGGCTGCTCCTATCAGCAAATGGAAAGGCTGTCAAAAGGTGTTGGCCCTCCTGCGCCCTAAAAGAAAATCACAGGCAACCCTTTGCGTTTTTAACCAAAAATGTCTTTAAACAAAAGGGCTAATTATAGATGAAACGTGCAACAATCGTCAATGGAAAATTTTATATGAAATATCAGCCAACGGTAAAGAAAAAATATACGTGGATGTGGATGTAATGAAATGCAATTATACTATCCTCATATATCGGAGTTAAGGACGGCATACTATTCATGAGAACCAATAGAGGTCGCCACTGACAAATTGCATTGTAAAATTATATCAAACTTTGAGAATGACTCCTGGGCTTATACAATCATTTTTTAGCTTGGTTTTTGAACATATAAATTCTACATACATTACTCTAGAGCGACTGTATAAAGGTTTTACTAAAAAGACAGTAATTACTACAATATTGCTAAAATAAGAGGGCACATTTCATATTTTATTTTAAGCAATTGTTGAATTTTAAAGTACAGTCGCTGTAAAACTGCTCCTCCTCTTTCAATATTGAAAGTTTTGTCATTTAAAACCCAATATTGCGGCCAGGAGTCATTCTCAAAGATTTCATTTTTAAAAAGTTACATCAATCACAATGGCGGCAAGCAGCAGTAGTGCAGCTATTTACTTCTAGATGTCGCTAAGGTACAACTTAACTTGGCGCGCGTCTGTAAAAAATATAAAGGAACTGCTGCATCCCATTATGATGTCATTGAGTACAATGAATGGTTGTTTGTCTAAACACGAGTACATAAACGCGACCTATGCCAACATTCCTTTCTCTTTTACTAAGATAAAATGACATTTGTGATTTGAATGTGTGTGGGCGACCCTCCAGAAAAGAAGACAGGTAGTTAAATCCGTTTGGTAATTTTACACGATTGTGCAACGCTGCCCTTATCCTATGTCTATCCTACGACGTGCATTTCCTAAAAATCACAGGGGTGCAAAAATGCATTTATTATCTTCGTTGGCGCAGAGACCAGATCTACTGTCCAAATTATCCGGGTATGCTCAGGGGTAGAGATCATGGGGGCGGGGGTGAATTTTCAGTAAAAAAATATGAATTGCCCCGAGTAACAATTTTTTCAGCACGGTTAATTTTTTACTTCACTGCACCCTCGTAGCGCCGCTCCTGGGCATCGTCTGTCAATTTCGAGAGCAGAGATGGACTCTACACCCCCAATAACCCCCGAGTAGGATTTCTCCCGCTTTTCATATAAGGAGCGATCAAAAAAGGATTGACAATCGAGTCGCCGATTTTCTGGGTAACCAAAAATTCCAAAGGTTGCTCAACAACAACTCTTTTTTGATCGCATAGTATGAAGTATTCGTGAAAATAATGATTACAAATTGTAGGTTTGACAAAATAAACAGTTGGTTGTAAATAAAGCAAATTCCCCTATGTATCCTTTAAATTCACCACGTCAAAGAATTATAAGAATATTGACAAATGAACGTCAAAAATTTTATTTGCGATTTCGACTGCAGAGCGAGAGCAGAAGGGCTAGGTATTTGAACAAAAAAACATGCCTTCAATTTGTTGAATAATCTCTGGTAATAGTGCATAATCTGTTTTTGCGTGTACTTTTAAATGTAATTTAATCTATGTCAACCAGCTGTTTTTTATCTCGTTAAAATAAGCAAAGGAATGTGCACAAGGTCATATGGAAGCCAACATGTAAAAGTAATTAAATTTAGAGCATACACAAACCAATTGTGTAAGTAGAGTACTACCTACTCGACACGATGTGGCAGCACAATTTATTTACTACAAAGATAATACTTCACTATCTTTCGATTTTAAAACATGCTGCGACCTCTGATATTTAATAGCTGAATCAGGGTTGCCTCATTTCATAACTGGTTCAATTTTTTAATTCGTATGCCGTCCTTAACGGCGAAATTCTACACATTGCGGAATCCCCATCACAGAATCGCCAATCGCCATAGATCCTACTACCACAGATAAAAGATTATCTGTGCTACTACACTAAAAGAATTGCCTTTCCTTAAACTCAATCGTTAAATTAGCATAGGTACTTGTCATGATTGCAATGGAGAAATTTGGAAAACAATTGAATATCAGGTTAACGACATATTCAACAGAAGCTTTTTCTAAATGTAACTACACGTTCAATTTTATTCTTGAGCAAACAATCTTTAACACGTAGCTACTCTCAATATTTTAATAATAGGGCTATTGTAAATTATCATATTGGATTAAAACGCAAAAATCCACTATGACGGCAAAACATCGTCGTTTTCCTAACCTTCTTTGCATACATTCCCTATCTCCGCATCTTGGAAGTGTACATTTTGGGGTTTGAAAGTCCCATTTTCTACCTGACAACAGTAGTATAACCTTTATCCAAAAGCGAGAAAGGATAGGCATACCACATCAATGATTTTGTTAGAACTCAATAATTACCGAGTTTTATACACCTCCAAAAACAAGAATGGTGCAATTAAGACACTTTCAGTCAAAAAAAGAACTGACCGACTATAAAACCACATTGAGTATTTGTCTGTCTTTATTGACTGAAAAATTTCCGCCTTAATCGACATTGCTAATTAAATAACTCAACTTTCATTATTTATTATTGACTTTTATTAAAGTAAATATACTCATCATAAAACTGCTAGTATCTTACGTAATCCCTTAGAGTAAACAATCCCTCGACTTCTGAAGATTAGGTACTCGTGTCCACAGATTTCTCCTACCTATTTCACTTTGCATATTTCCACCAAAAATGACGTCCTTTACGTACCATGCTATAATAATTCATTCGGCTGGCTAAAACTGATCGGAGCGCACATCACCGATAACAGCCATAAAAATTGAAAATTGTTTCTTTGTTTTTTGTGCAAAATTAGGCGTTATGTAAGTAGCCGGGACAATGGGGTGAGATATTTAGGCATTTTTAGCTTTTGCATTAACTCTATGTTTCTTCTTATACATAGGTAGGCTTAAACTTGCGGTGTCATCAAACTCATCTGCATAATTCCGAAGACAATACATAGGTATACTTTACATTTTAAATGAGCGCATTCTGTTCGTTTCCTGTGTTATGTATATAAATATTTGCCAAATTCCGGGCTGCATGCAGTCAGCACTTTTCATTTTGTCTCAATATAGCATGAGTCAACATTGCGCTTCTTGTAAACGGAGTAGTGGTTGTCAATAAAATAAATATTACCTACTTTCACGTACAATTGGAATAGTTTCTTAGTATATTTGCAGTATACTTCAAAAAGTCGTAAAAGTACTTTCGACTAATTGTGAAATAGATAAACACCTTCGGTTGCCGGAAATTCTTCAGTGTCTGGATGATGGTAATTGGAATGTTAATTGTTTACTTATCAAATGTCAATTAACTACGCAATTAACTGCAATGGGTGAAATTTGTTGCAAATGTGATAATTAGCGTAAATTTTCTTTTTGTATTCAAATTGATGCAACATATTGCAAACGTAATTTATTAGATGTGGTTTACCTTAAGTCTTTGTTGTATAATTTTGTGCGGTGCTCTTACAATTTTCCCGTGTTTTCAGGTATTGTGCGTGAATAGCCGAAGGATTGCAGAATAAAGAAGAAAATGTCGATTTACAACAATTCGGTTAAGAGATACTACGACTTCGTATTTACGGATCTCGCCGGTAAGAAATTTTTATACTATCCCACAATTTAGTTAATAAAACGATTTGTAAAAACAACGTAATCTTAAAATCGATTCTAAATACGCCATTGCGTAACGAGGAACTAATTTATTTTTATTATTATTGTCTCAATTAGTAAGGGAATAGTAATTTCATAATAAATTACATTAAAACCTCTTTTTACTTGCGGTTAGGTGCTTTGGTGATTAAATGGTTTTTAAAAAGACGTTTCCTTTACAGTAGGTTTCTGCGCGTTTATAATTGCTGGACCAAATTTGAATTCGGTATTACTTGAGCGTGATTGTGCGACATTATATAACATTAATCTTAAATTTGCACAAAATCTTTAACAAAGTGTAGCCGTCTGACCTAGACACAGATACTATTTATTGTAATACTTCACATGGAGAAAAGTACTAAACTCATTCAATTAAAATGGTTGCACTTTCTACTCATTTGCGCTTAATCTCACCGTTTTGCTCTAAATAAATATTCCCTAAAATTCTCTCCCTCGTTACCAACTATGTAATAACTATTTTGAAATTAAACAAACATTAATTTGAAGAGTTCTGTGGTAAAAAAAACTGAAAAATTACTTCGATTTGGTTTGCATTCTAACATTTTTAACCATTCGTTTTACGTTGAGGTTAATATCGTAATCATCATTAAACTGTAACAATTTTGTGGCCCTCTTTAAAAACATTCTAGTCGGAAGTAACTCAATTTTATGGCCTTACGTATTAATATGCTCGTTTTTGTCAAAGTACCTAAATTAGACGAATGTGTCCATTCTGAAGAAAAAAGTAATTAAATGAACAAATTCTTTAAATGTTTGAGAAAAATGGCAATCTGTGATTAATACAGTGCCAAATCAGGAACAGTTAAGATGGAAATCTTTTCAAGCGTTCAATCGTGCTACCATAAACTTCACCCTTTTGCCATGTAGGTATTCAATAACCAAAACGACCACGAGCAGACTCTTTTTTCATACCCAAATGTTCGTGTATAATCTTGATTGAATATTGTAGTGTTAGACACTCCGGCTTTTTCACAAGCATGGTCGGTTATTTTTCGAAACAATAAACACTGCCAAAACTTCCCAATGTTGTGGATCAGTTTTTGGGCGCTTTTGATGACTAAAATTTATACGCGACATAAGAAAAAAAAGACCATTCAATCAATTTATTTTCATAGGGCGTCTCCAAGTCCTCTTTAGAACACGATTGTACAATGTTTTTACAAGGCAACTGACATGTACCTATATGTG